ATTTTCTAATGTCTTCAGTTTAGTTTTTCAGTGTTCTGTAATTTCCATTAAAGAGGTCTTTCACCTTCTTAGCTTGATTCCTAGGGTTTTTAAAAAGCTTTAGTGAATGGAATTTTCCTGATTTCTTTCTTGGCAGATTCATTATTGGTGTATAGGAATGCTATTGACTTTTGTGTGTTGGTTTTGTATCCCACTACTTTGCTGAATTTTTTGATGACCTCTCAGAGTCTTCTTGTGGAGTTTTTAGTCTTCTATATATAGGATCATATCATCTGCAGATAGGGATAATGAGACTTCTTTCTTTCATATTTGTGTCCCTTTTACTGCTTTCTCCTGCCTAATTGTCCTAGCATTGTACTGGACAGGAGTGATAAGAATGGACCCCTTACCTCATTCCTGACTTTAGAGGAAATGTTCTTAGTCTGTTCCCGTTCAATATGCTGTTGGTTTTGGGGTTGTCAAGCAGGAACTGTGTGATACTGAATGACAGTGGGGAGTCAGGCACAGAGCACAGGGGTCTGTAATGGCTTCAGTAAGGAGGAATGGTGGCATATATTGCTGAAATTCAAAGCTTAGAGGATTTTTTTCATGGGAGACACAGGGGAGAGGACAGGCAGCTTACAAGTACTGTAGTAGTAAATAGCAAGCAGGATGCCTTCCCCATCTCTAGGCCAGAGGCAAGTACCAGAGCTCTGGGAGAGAAGAAGCTGCCACTTGAGAGGATTGCAGGGCAAGAAGCAGTGCCAGTCCTCAGGGAAAATAGGTTTCATTTAGAAGAAGCTGGTGAGTGGAATATCTTGGAAATTCAAATTGAGAATGTAAAGATTTGCTGACTGCTGAGTGATTTCTAGGGGGCCCAGTGGAAGAGATGAAGGATTTGAGGGATGAGGAGGGGTACAAGTTGAAGACATAAAAGGCTGTGTCCATATCTGGCAACTGAGGATGAAAGCCCAGGAGGTGATTTGTGCTCTGGAGCCACCTTGTGGGAACTGGAGTGACCGAGAACACAATGGTCTCAAGATAGATAAGGATTTGAGGTAATGAGTACTATAAGAGGAAGGCAGGCAGAGGTTCTTAAAAGGCCCTCTTCTCTTGACACCTCTTCACTCCTGCATGAGACGGAAAGGGGCAGGGCCCCTTATTCAGAACACTGCATTAAAGGTTACTCATCTGTGTGGCCAGAAAAATACGATGCACTGGTTGGCACTGGCCTGCCATATCAAGTTGTCTATTGCTACCTAATAAATCACCCCAAAACACCAGTGGCTTAATCTCATCTTTTCTCTGTATTGGGAATCTAGGCAAGTGTAACTTTCTGAGTCCTCTGTTTCTAGGTCTCACTCAAAGCTTTGGTCAAGGTATTAACAGTGGCTCAATCATCCTGAGGCTTAATTAATGGGATGGGTCCTTTTCCAAGTGCACTCAAATAGTCATTGGCAGGATTCACTTCTCTATAGTGGTTCAGCCCATAGGTCCTCACAAGCTGTTGGTAGAAGGCCTCCCTTGGTCCCTTGCCACATTGATCTTTTTATGCATCACAGCAAGAGTCAGCAAGAGTTCTAGCAAGACTGATCTAGGAGATGTCATCTCATCACTTTTGCTTCATTCATTAGAAATAAGCTACCAGGTCCAGACCACATACAAAGGGAGAAGATTAGGCAAGGGTATGAATACCACGTAGCAGGGATCATCAAAGACCTGTCAGGCTACCCAGCTCTGAACCAGCCACTCATAGAAGAGAACTAGTGCTGGCTTAGACCAGTCAGGTTCTTCCCTCTCCTGGCACTGGATTCAAGGCCCCAGGTCCCAAAGCTGCCGTAGAGTTGAGAGGGACAGAAAAAGAGTGTTGGGAGGACAAGCACAGCATTTACAGTACCTGTTCTCCAGTGTTCATGCCTTCATTCCAACTGTTACCCTACTGTTGCTACCATTTAGTGCTGCCTCTTTTATGCCCTCAAGATCAAGCCCTCCTATTCCCTTTGTGATCTGATCCTACTTCATCTTTCCAGTCTTATCTCTCACTTATTCTTGGTCTCGGGATGTCTTTAATACTCCTAAAAGTTTTGAAGGCCCCAAGGAGCATTTTTTTTTTTAGAAGCTTTTATTTATATATGTTACAGTTTTTATATATATGTTACAAATAAGTATATTTTATTTATATATTTATGTTTTATTTATGTTACATTATTTATATATGTTATTTATATGTTACATAATTAGACTAAAAACAAATTTTAAAAATATTTTAAATATTGCCAGGCATGGTGGCACACACCTATAATTCCAGCACTTAGGAGGCTGAGGCAGGAGGATTGCTGTGAATTCAAGGCCACCTGAATTACATAGCAAGACCTTGTCTCAAAAAAACAAAAGTTTGTGAATTCATTTTAAAATATAAACCCATTACTAAACATGTAACACATTTTTATGAAAAATACACCATGTTTTTCCAAAAATGTTTTATGAAGAATGACATTGCTTCACATTTTTCAAATCTTTAATATCTGATATAATATAGTTGGTTTTTCCTGTCTGCTGCATTCTCTCCATTTTGATATATAATTTTGGTTGAAGTATATGAAGAAAATCTGCCCTCACACAGGTACACAGTTTGAAAAATGCCTTCTGTACTTTAATAATCTTGTCTGCTAATTTTCATGTTTTCATTTAATTTATTTATCTTGCATGTGGAATCTGAACTTTTCATATTCTGTTACATTAAATCTGTTGAACTATCTTGCACTTTGGATAGCTTTTATCTATTTGGAAGATACTGGTTATTCAGGTCTTCCAAATATTGGCCCATTTCTTTATATTTTTAATCACATTTTTAAAAATAGCTGCCTTCTGTTCAGCAAAGCCTTTCAATGCTGGGAACCTGTGGCTCATAAAAGATTTAAAATCCTAACTTTCACTTAAACATTCAAATTTTATTATTGGCAACAAATTCTGTCATTTGTTCTCCTTGAAGTAATAAAAGTCATTTTTTTACAAAGTGCCAAATACGTATGTCTTAATAGCCATTTGGATATCATAATTTTGTCACCTAAAAATGGTGCTCCACAAAAAGCTGTGACTTCTGGCTAAGAGCTTTCACCCAGTGTTCTGGGTCTCCTTCAGCTCTGCTGCCCGCTGCAGGCCTCCTGTTAAGACTACAAACCGGGATGGGGTTGCATTCTCCAGCCAGTCAGTGTGTGCATGCTGGTGCAGAGGGCAACCAGGGCAAAACAAGCGCCCTCTGCCTGCTTATGAGGGGACTTCAGTTCCAGGACTCAGAGCACTGTGTCCAGAAGATCTGAACCCTTATAAATCAACAGGGTATACTTTTTCAATATAGAGAAAAGAGTAGAATAATTATATGAAAAGTTTAAAAATCTCAGATTTTATAATTTGCTTTTCAAGCATCTGTTTCATTGCACCTTGTTTATAAAGGAAAAAGTGTGTCCTTGAGGTTATGGCCAGTTCTGGTGCTACCTCACTTTGGGGCATGGCTGATACTTTGAAGCTGCTGTGAGATCTGTCCCCAATCTGTTCTTCAATACGACCTGAAACATTGTTAGTGATGAATTTTCTACCAGTGAAAACATGAAGTTTATTGCCTTTCACTTTAATATTAATAAAAGCCATTATTAAAGATTTTTTGATAATTTTTCATTGTTTTAATGATCTTCCTTTTTCACAAGGGAAAAAACCCCTCCAAAGTACCTGTGACTATAATATCTTATATCATGTTATTTATTAATAATTGTCACATGACACCACTTTCTAAGCACACAGGTTTCAATTTTCCATTTGTCTTTTTTTTTTAAGATTGGCATCCTCATTTTGTTAGGGACAGAGGAGAGGCTTCTGCCATCTTGATGGGATAGTAGGTTTGTGACTTTTCTCCTTTGAAGGCCCTGTAATTATTTATATACAGCACAGGTTTTGGCTACATGAGAATATCCTAGGACGGTGATGGTGAACTTTTCAGAGACAAGTGCCCAAACTGCAATCCAAAACCCACTTACTTACCACAAAGTGCCAACACTGCAATTAAAACCTGAAGACCGAGGTTTTACTTTAGAAAAACAACTCATACAGTAACATCCTTTGTCTTAAAAGAAAAACAACACATGTGCCATAGGTTCGCCACCACTGCCCTTGGAGAATGCATGTGTGTGCTTCTAAACAAGTTCATTCACTCAGTGAAATAATGAACTGAAACAGGCTGCTTTTAGAAAAAAAAAAATTTGGGACCTGAGTTCCCTGTTCCATCCATTCCCATCACTGGGGGAAAGGAGTTATACATTTAGGATAATGATGAGGAAAACAAAAATAGCATCTCTTTGGAGAAATGTAACCTGGCACAATTAAAAGTGGGACTCAAATTGAAACATAAATTTTTTTATGAAATGGGAATGTTTTATCTTTGTCATGTGTATGCCACCTAAGTTTTTAAAAAAATCTAGGCTTCTTTCATTCTTTGAATTTTTTCAAATGCACAGTCAGAGTATATATCTTTATTTTTCATAACTTTTGTACTTTAGCCTGTGTGTCACAAGTAACTAAGTTGTGTTTACACTCCAAGTGATTTAAATTTTACACAGCTTACCTTTGTGACACCAGTGTCCCTGCAAAGACATACTGTATCCACGTCTCCACTGACTGTATCTACTCCAGTGGGAACCAAGCTCAAGCGGTACAGAGCAAGTACATACACCACCACATGCCGCTCTGCCCAGCAGGAGGCAAAGTATACTGTTTTTGCCTTTATTTTTAATGTAACACTTAAAATATTTCCTTTTTTTTCTTTTTGTAGTGATGGATTTCCTTTAAGTTTGTGACAGACATTAAGCAAAGCCTTAGAAGCTGTTCTTCTTGCTAAGTATTGTTACCAACACAGAGCTGATTAAAAATTTCAGAAAAACAGGATTATACACTATAGGTGTGGACAGCTTTCATTTCATTATTAGTATCCTAAATTATCTAAAGATTTGTTTTCTTTCTCTTTTTTACAGACCTAACTACCGTACTGAGTGCTGCATATTTCAAGAAACCACAGAAGTTTAAATGTTTGGTTGTCCAATATTCTTGGATTTGATATGAACCGACAGATAGTCTTTGTTGTCGTTGACAGAACCCCAGTTTGTATGTACATTATTCACATTCCTCTCTGTTTTGTTGGAAAAAAAAGACATTTTAACCTTTTTAAGGTTATTGATTTAATTTCATGTTATTAGGTTGCATGATGTTGCCCTTTACCACTAAGAATTATCAAAAATTTTGCACAGACTCACACGTCTAGGATCCTTTTATCAAGGCAGTTATGTTCATCATTTTCCTGCCTTTACCCCACCATCACCAAACACTTATTTAATATTTTAAGTGTTTAATATTAGCATTTTAAGTAGCTTAAGCATTTTAATGCTTAAGAATGGGATTTCCTCTTTGACAGAACCCAAGAACTAATTCCTAGATACATGTTGGTAGATTGAAGATGAAATTCAAATCATCCTTCAGCTTTGAGGCCACGTGTAAAGTTTAACTGTACGTACAATATCTATACTGTATTAGAAATAGCTAGTTTACAGCTGATACTTCTCAAAACTCATGTTGTTATGTACACAATGTGAGTTTCTCTGTGTAAAGTTAGTGAGTCTTTTTGTGTTACTCCAAAATAAAGGATTTATTTTTTCCCAGTGCCAGTATAATTTGAGATAAGCATTCGAGGTAAACACATTTTAAAGCTGAAATCAGCAGCAGCCCTATGGGAAACTACACAAAGCATTGAGTTTTAAATATAGACTTTTAAAATTAACCGTTTTCTTTTTGGAACTAGAATTATAATGGTTACTGTTTGTCCACAAGCCATTACTATGTGTACATTATTGTTGCTACTGTGATAATAGAGAATTTTATTTATTTTTATGCCAGCTTATATTGTGAGAACACATTTAGTCAGTTTGGGTTTCATCAATCCTGTTATGCTTGTCCTTTGAACATCTTTCATATATTGAAGGTTTGTAGTTGAAAAGTTTACTGTAAAAAAAATCAAAAACAAAAAAATGTACTGTTTTTACAGAATAAATTTATTGGAATGTGTACTGGGAGTAAGCTCTGAGGTTGTAAACAAAGTTAGTGTAATTTGGCTTTATTTATGTAATTGTGAGGTACTCATGTAATTCATATATTAACAGCAAGTTGACATTTGAATCAAGCGCAGGTAAGGGCTTTTTTTCCTCCCCCACTTTTTAATACTTTGGGTTTTTGGTTATTTGGGAGGGATTGACAGTACAATTTGCCTGCATATCTAGGTAAATATTTACCAGCTCAGTGGACCCTAAATTCACACACTTTGGTATTACTCACATTTTGACTTGTACCCCCATTTCCATTTCCTTTTGGTTTCCTTGTTTTGGTGAAGAGATAATGAGCATGAAGAGAAAAGCTGAGAAGACGATGCCAATGGTGGTGATGGCAGCAGAGGCTACACAAACTAATCCCGTGCACCACTGCAGGGTACTGAGGAGGAGCTGTACTTTTGGTCTATCCCTGTTTAGCAAATATTGATTTACTCTGTTACACTCACAGTTTCAAATATGAAAAGTTCATAAAGAAATTAGTAAGGATTCCACCAGTACTTTTTTTCTTAAAGGTATTTTTAAATTTTGAATCTTTTATTTTAAAATTTTGAAATGTTTAATTCATCAAAAGACCTCTTCATTGCTCACACTAAAATATGAAAACAGACTGCATTTTGTGTAACAGGTTTTCTTAACTAAAAAAGCCAAAACTTAGGAAAATATATATAAAACATTTGAAATGTAGTAAGATTTGTTTTCATAGGCCAAAAGTAATTTTATTAAAAATATATGCAGATATACAATAGAAATTTTTCCAGCCACCAGTAAAACAAGTGTTTGTTACAGGTAATGATAAAGCTAATGGATTGTGCTTTAGCTATTTAGATTGACACATACAATGAACTCATAAAAGCAATTTTTAAAATAGCAGTAAATAATACATTTTCCTTGGGAAAATATTTTTAAACAGTTAAAATATTTTGATGATCTGCCTTTTAAATTGAGGTTGATAGTGTAGCATATGCATTTCTCCAACCTGTGATTGCTGTTTTGCATTTTTATATGTGTAGACCATATTCACTTCTGAGTAGTTTTTTTTTTTGCTCACTATTATAGGCACTAAATTGTAATTTTTCACACTTACAGTTATTTAATATGTACAGACAGAATCTTGAGATACATGGTCAGGTTTATTCACAGACAGTTTTGATATATTTCCTTAAACATGCTGTTTTTCAACAACTTCAGTTTTCCTTCCAAAAAGAAAAGAAAATTTAACCACACAACACTGTGTTACAGCTCACACATAGAGTACAGAGCAAGAATTTGTTTTCTGTGGTATTTGTGTTTGAGAAGGGAGTGAAATGGGACAAAAATAATGATTACTAATATAACAAAACTTAGTAATCTAGAGAGAAAGAATATAATGTAACATTTTTATTCCACCTTTTCATCTGACTTTGTTTTTATGAAGAACTCCGGTTTGTAGATACAACGATAGGCCAAGAGCTGAGGAAGAACTCCATATGCTATGTTTAATGCTAAAAATAGGATTTTCGCTTCTTCAGGGACTCTGTAGACATAAGCAGTTCTAGCATGGAGAGAAGCACCAATGTGAGAAAACTGAGCCTGTTTTATTGGGGGGGAAAAAGGGGGGAGAGTATAAGCATGAAATATATTTCCATTGGGAAAAAGAGTGAGTTCTTGGATAGCTATTTCAGACCCTTCTATGCCCTCAAAATCAGCCTCACAGTATAATACCTTCAAGTAATCCTAGTCTTTAATATGATAGTCTTTCATTAAATCTGGGGCCAATCTTGGTATCTGTGTTCAAATAAAATATATTGTGTTTAGTTTTATCATGTCAGTTCTGTTATCTAACACACCCAGTCCCCTATATTAAACATTAGTGGCTGAATTCAACAGAAAAATCTTTTTATTTTTCCTGATTTGGATTCTGTAGGTCCTACAGAGAGACTCAGCTTTGGCTCACAAATTATTTTCCAATAAAAATGAAGAAAGTACAGAGTTTTTAAAGCTAAAATATATTTAAAATAGTAAATTATTTAAGAAGAAGCACTAAGGAACTCAGCTTCACTTATCAATCTTTCAGTTACAGCAGAGAGCAAGTAACTGAGCAAAGCCCTTTCATTTACATATTTTTATTTATTTATTCACGTATGTTTTATGCGACTTTAAAAAATACTAAGAATTGTTTTGTATTATTAAGTTAGCAGCTTGGGTTGGGGTAGGAATACGATTTCTCTTTATAAAATGGCAACTGTATGGGTGAGGAAGCCTTTTCAAGTCAAATTGTAATTTATTTAGAAGTATGACTTGTCAGCATAATCCAGGTTTACAAAATGGAAAGGAAAGGGCATCCCTCTATACTTGTATACTTGTTCAAAACACACATTCAGAATGTACCAGTTGGTCTTTTTTGATACTTTTCATAGGCACAGAGGACAACTTATTATAAAGGGTAATGCAGGCCACAGCAGGATTAAAAGCTTCTGGGAGAGAAGTTCTACAGGAAGCTTATGTCATTACAAAATGCAGCCCCACATGTCCATTTTCATGTCTTGATGAAATTTAAGATACACATGAATAAAGAATTGGGAACCTGAATGTAGTAAATTATTAGTTCATCTAGATCAAAGTGAAAAGATAAAAGACTGCAATCTAGAGAAGACACAGAAGTAACAAGAATGAATAATTTGTTTTAAATACATTTTAAGTTGCCTTACATTTCCTTCCATGTGAAATCAATTGATTCTTCTAAGTGATTAACCGATAGTGTTACCACTTAACTTTGCCATGACAAGAAAAGGGCAAGCTTTTCTAAGCACCATGTTTATGAAATTTGTATCAATGGCGGATATTTTAATGGGCTACAATTTTCCGAATTACTGGTATATTCTGGTTACCTCTGGTACGTTTTTGCTATTTTCTGGAAATAGAATTTAGATTACTGTGGTGTGTTTCCAAGGACCAACAAATGGACTGCATTGAGAGTCGTGGACACTGAGGGCTCTGCCCTCGTACTCACCTCCCCAGGGCAGATGCCAGACAACCCAGCCAATGCATTTGCATCTCTGGGCTGCAACGATAAAAGACCTTCAAAATAAAGGGCACTTTGGAACTGCCCTGAGGAGCCATTGTGAACATTCTAAGAACTCTGAATAGGAGCCTGGCTTCTGTCACTATCTTTCCCTAGGGCCTATTTTGAATGACTTTTTCTGAATATATAACTAAACTTTTTCTTCTGGACTAGAGGCCAGTTTTGAACCCTGGTTTTTCAGAAATGTGGGCTTGGTGGCTTTATAGACACTTGTACACATCACAAAATCAAAAGATTTGGAAAACTGTCCACTGTTCTTTGAGAGAATAATGAGCAGTTGTGCCTACTACCTGCATAGGGAAACCTCATAAAACATCTGTAGGCCCTTGACCTGCACAGACTGTGCAGCTAATACCTCATTTTCACAAACAGCAAACCCATGCATTAAAAACAGATTCATGTCCTTAGATTAGATTGTAAGCCCACTGGGCAGGTACTGTGTCTGATGTTTTGTGTGGCACCTATCACATTGTTACAGCTCAATAAACGTTCAACAACAATGGTCTCGTGGCTGTGAAAATACAAAAGAGGATCTATAAAGAATTTCTGTGTTTTATACCTATTAGGACATTCTGTTTAAAAATTATTAAAGGAAGAATAATATCTTAACATTCCTAACCACAAGAGATGTCTGTATATAAGAACCATGGGGCCGGTTGCCGCAGCCTGTGCTGCAGCACACAATTCCAATCAGTGGTTGTTTATGGCAGCCACACCTGCATAAAGCTCCTCCCCAAGTCTGTAAGGTGTCCAGGGTTCTGAAATTTCAGAAAAACCTGTCTTACCAGAGGATGGTTCCTTTCCTAAAAATAAACTTGACAAGGGCTGCAAAGGCCCCTGGGTGGTGATGTCACCAGTGCACAGGGCCTCCCAACAGCAGCCAAAATTGCTGGTCCTGGGTGTTGTGTGGGGGTTAGATGGTTGAGTGAACTGAAGTTCTAAACCCCAGTAATTTTCCAAATTCAGTGATAGGAAATTGAATCCCTAATCATTTTTCTTCTATTTCATATAAAATTTTTTTCAACCATAAAGAAACAATGAAGAGTTTAACTTTTTAAAGAATGTATGAGTGGGATAGAAAATAGGGCAACGAAGGTTTAAAAAAATACTACATTTTAATAGCTCTTTGTCTCTGGATTCATAGAGATAACGTGGAAACGATGACTAAAAATCACAGTTCTGGCTCCAGAAGGAGTTTGAGTTTTCTGTGCTCACATGAATGTTATAAGCAAAAAGTAATGTGAACACTGGGGCAGTTGCCAGGCTATTTGGCCAATATAGTATAATGACTAACCCAGAATGTTATCTTTTCTTAGGGGTTTTCTCAGCAGCATAGTATAGTGAGTGCTTCAGAACACTGACTCTGGAACCAGATGGCCAGAGTCAAATTCCAGCCTCGACACAAACCAGCAAGATGGCCTTGCATGAGGTATGTAACCCTCTGGCTTCCTCATCTGTGAAAAAGGACAATAATGAAACCTTCCTCCTAGGTTGTGTTCAGTGAGTTGAAATTTGTAACAATGCGCTTATTACAATGCCAAGCACATGGGCTATTTGTGTACACAAAAAGCTGAAACACCTGTTCATGATCTGGCACTGTTGAAAACCTGGGCTCTTTGTTTTTAGATCTCCTTGTTGCTCTTTTGACTGTTGGTGTTGCCATCAAAGGATAATAAGCACATAAAGATGTTAAACCCAAAGTCTAATTTTAATACTAAATAAAGATATTTGGTAATGAATCACACCAAAAGCAAATGAGTAAAATGGATTTGCATTACTATCTCAATTATCCATGCTCTTAAGTCTGTACTTTCAGCTCTTTCTTAAAGGTTTCCATGAAGGAAAAAACATGAAATTCACTTCCAGGAGTCACTTTTTTACAGTCAGACTGTCCAAAATCACACCTCCAAATGAGGAAATTCATGGCACCTGCACAGCCAGGAGTGGCGGAGCCTGAGGGTGGGGGTGGGAAGGAATGTCCCTTGACTGAATTGGAACTGACCCTGCTTCAATGGCCAGGTGCAGCTGGGAGCCCACTGCATCTGCCCCATACCTTGTACCCACTTTTTTTTTATGTCTAGGTACTATATATAATGCACATAGTTTAAGTAAATTGTCTACAGATTGATTAATCACTTGGTAACTGTTACGGAGAATCTTACAATAATGGAAACCAAGCTACTATATTGCAGGCACTATTCTTGGCCCTTTACATACATTACCTTGTACCTTCATAGCAACACTATTAATATTCTCACTATTAATATTAATATTCTCACTTTACAGAAGAGGAAACATCTGAGAAGTAAAGTAACCACGGTCATTTAATCAGTGGAAGGCTGGGATTTGAATCTTTCAGCCTCCACAGCACCTGCTCTTGATCACATTAACTATATTAACCCTGTTTCTCATTTTCAGTGATATTTTAACACTATACAGTCATTTACTGGTATGGGTAATGCCTAATACAATGCAAATACTATGTAAGTAGTTGTACTGTTTAAGGAACAATGCCAAGAAAAAGTCTACACGTTCAGTACGGTTGTGGTCATCACAGGCCTAAGAACATTTGGTTTGGTTTGGTTTGGTTTTTTGAGACAGGGTATCACTATGTAGTTCAGGCTGGCCTCAAACTCACTATGTAGCCCACGCTGGCCTCAAACTCAAAGAAATCCTCCTACCTCATCCTACCAAGTGCTGGGAGTAAAGATGTGTGCCACCATGCCCAGCAGTCAAATTTTTTTTTAAATCTGCAAGTGGCTGAATATGCACATAGGCCCAGACTACTTCAGTTGATAGAAAATGGTAATAACTGGATTGAAAAAGCCTGTAACACTTTTCTGGTTAGGCTTACACCTTGAGTCCTACAGTAAACACTGTATGAAGAGATTGTTGGTTATGAGTATGTCCCAGTAGAACTCTGGTATAAAAAGTGTCCTGGCTTTATTAAAGTTTTTCAGTGATCTTTTGATTCTGAAGGTAGCAGATTTGTCAAGCTTCTACAGTCTGAAGTCCAGGACTCTGTACGTACCCACTGTGTCTTCCTAATCTATGACATCCTGATACAGAACTTTTTAAGGACTTTTTTTCTTATCAAATTGTATAAAACCTTAGGAGTTCACTAGATTTTTCAATAAAAGCAGGGTTTGATTATGTCAGGGTTGTAAATGGATAAGACGTCTAAATTAGATATGGTAGTTTTAGCAAGCAAGGGGTGTAGGTCAGGTTTCCCGAGAGTGCCTTCCTGATGAATGTGTCAGATACCCTCGTAACATGAGGCCATTTCATAAGCAAGTATATGCTAAGTACAAAACATACCACAGAACTCCAACTGAACATTCTGACCAAATGAACTTTTACAATGTAACACTGAGAGGGGCAGCACTGAGGATTGAACCTAGAGACTTAACAGTAAGCTACAATACACCAAATTGTCCAGTCTGGGCTCAGGCTTGAGATCCTCCTGCTTCAGCTTCCCACAGTGCTGGGATTATGGGCATGTGCCACCATGACCTGCTTATACATAATTTCTAACTCTTCTTTAAACTGAACAGAATAAGTAGATATTAAAATCCATGAGCTGTGGAACTATCAGCACATAATTCTTGAATTATGCCACCTTTCACCTGCTTGGTTGAGAGAAACATCTTTCTGACATTTACAGGACATGGGCTCAGCCTCAGCCTCTGACTTGGCTCTCACCAGCAAGAGAGAGGCTTCCAGGACACCTTGTCAACCAGCTAGTGGTAGGTAAGCCCAAGGACTCCTGCAAGGACTGAAGGCTACATGAAACTGCCATTGTGTCCTGTCCACACTGCCCTGCCCAGAACCACCCAGCCAGAGTCCCAGGTGCCCACCTGCAAGCTAAGTCTCATCAACAGGTAGAGTCTTGGGTTGTTTTACTGCCACATGCTCTAACGCCCCTTTACCCCCAGGCTATAACCTTCCTAAGCCTCCTGACCCCTGGCTCTGGCCACAAGACTAGACCTTTGCCTGGGTTTTCTGCCTAGTTCTCCATTTGTCTCCAGAGACTTGACCAGGTCCCACACAGGGCCTCCTGTGCCAGTTTCCAACAGAGGCCATTCACATCCTGCCTGCCTCAGGGACTGATGGTACCTGAGAAGCAAAGTAACAAGTACTGCTGGATTTTGAAAAATCTCTGTAAAGAAAGGCTGGCAAGAGTGAAGTGACTGTGTGGCTTTCTGTCCTGGTACATATGGGAGAGGAACCAGGCCAGGAAAACAAAGCAAAGGCTTACCCGGCCCCTGTCCCTCCCCTGCCACACTCTCATATCTAAAGCTTCCTCCCATTGCTCCCTGGGGAAGCTCAGCCTGTGAAGGTCCCACTCAGTCCCCAGCCTCACTCAGATGTCTCCCTCCCACCACCGTGCTCACACCACACCTATTTGCAGAGACAGATAACTGAAGACTGTGGGTTCTGTATTCAGATGGGATTTCTGCCATTTAATAACTCTGCCACCTTGGTCAAATACTTCCAGCTGTCCTGAGCTTCAGTTCTCTCATCTTTATATAGTGATTTTTAAAAATCTGCTGCAAAGATACTATGCACTCAGATGCTATGTTTCTTATGAGGTTCACAAGACCACATTTACCAGCCTTCCTACACCTGAGCCATTGCCAGCCCTGGCCCTTGAGAATATCTGCCCTCCATGAGCTTTGCATAAGCAAGAAGTAAAACCAGGCTGAGGTCAGCTGCTGAATATTTTTTATACAGTAGAACACACAGCCTGTCCTTACAAACAGGAACATGAAACATTGAGCAGGGCTTGCCCAGCATGAAATAGCACCTGAGAATGGAGGCTAATGCAGTGACAGTGAGCTGGAAGAGAGGGATGGGTTTGAGAGCTTCCCTGGAGATACCTATCCTGGAGCTGACAGGCTGGCTAGATGGAAAAGTGAGGGAAAGGGAGGGCAAAGAGTTGTTCCACATTCTGGGCTTGGGCTGCCTGATGCAAGAGGGACTGTCCAAAAATTACAGGAAAGCAAAAGTTGTGGGGAGGATCAAGAGCCCTATATTTTCTAAATATGACCTGCTAGCAAGATATCCAACTGAAGCAAGTAAGTCTAGAATTAAATGCATAAGTCTGAGAGCAATCTGGGCTGAAGAAATTGGAAGACCTCAGCTGATAACTTGGCAGAGAAAGATATGGAAATAAAGACCCAAAACCAAAGTCTGAAGAATCAGACATTTCAAGGTCTGCAAAGAGGAGAATAAATGATAGCTCTCCTCCAGAACAGGAATCATTTCTTCTGGATGCTGTATCAACTTTCCTAAAAATACATATTCTAATTTTTATAATAAACTACCTCAGGCTACAAGACTCCATATATACTGTTAACTTTTCAACACTAAATTTAGTGTCTTTTTACCCTCATACTTACTATACTATGAGTATGTATTTAACTGTATATATCTAAAGTTTCTGAATGAACCTCTTTCTTGGGCTTGCCTGAAAGAGAAACGTGTTTTTAAAGGATGAGTTCATTTGGCTTTTAAATTTTTTCAGTACAAAGATAAAATTACTTAATAAATTACAAATAATTTATATTTATTTTTTCCATGTTAAGATCAACTTATTTTGCTACTTGTTCTCTTATAAAAACATGTTTTGTGTGATAATTGCAAGATAATTTCATTTCTAGTTTGATGTAGTAAGCAATCACTAAGCACCTGCCATGAGACAGGGACTTGGCTAGGTGCCAGAAGGAGGAATGACTGATAGGCCCCAGCTTTCTAGGAGCAGAACCTGTTTAAACCAGTTTCCCTAGTTGCTGTATAAATAGTATAGTAGAATTCTGAAATCTTAAATTTAGACATCTTGAAAATAACAGCTCACCAGCCTTTTTCAGAAAATATGATGTTTAGAGATTGGGAAAGAGCCCAAAGAATAGCAGTACCACTTGCTGGGTATGTGAAAGCATTTAATATAGCTTGACCTCAGCTTCTCCTGACTAGATGGCACATCTTTCAGATGGTTATAAGATTTAAATAGAATATATACACAGAAACTTCTAAACAACTGTAAAACAAAACACAACTACTGCCTACTCTAAAACACTGAGCAGATAGTTTTCACATATCCAGCAATGAGCACTGGATCAGTAAACTTTCTCAGAATAGCACATTAGTACCTGAGCTAGACCTCCAGCATGTATCAGTGTTATGTCAGGCATCCAGGAGCATCCAGGAACCACTAGGCCATAAAGCGCAATCACAAAGTAAGGAATAGAATAGAACATATACGCCAGCATCTGCATTGAACAAGAAATAACATCAACAAATTAACAGTTTGGCCTGAATAAAAAGTACAAAAAATTAACATATGCAAAGATAAATGTCCTTCCTACTCTTAAGTATAGGATCACCTCTAACTATGAGAAAGAGAGATAAACTTTAGGAAAAAAATCTTAGGCTTCGTACTACTTGACCTGAATTTTAGGATAAGCAGCAGGATCCTTTAGGTAGGGTTCTTGAAATTGTGTATATAATCGGCAGAGCTCAGCTGGGCAGTCCAAAGCAATCTAAGAACAAAAATGAATTCATTATAAAAATACAATAACTTCTGGTTCTTAGGTTTGCTGATAAGGCTAACTGCCAGGTTTAGTCACAAGCTGCTTTTCTATTTTAACAAAAGCTATGCACTATGGAGGCTCATCAGGGAAAGTCAAGAAAGGAAATATTGTGCAGACTTATCTAAGGAAATGGAGCAGATGTTAATAGTGGAGCTGGAAGTGAAAACTAATTGTCTATTCTTGGGTATCTTTCAAGTATTCATAGTTTTAAGTATCTAGGTTGGCAGGCCAAAGCACAGCTTGCTTTAGATTACCAGTTTCATTTCTGGGAATAACTAGCCAACTAGTGCCTACAAGAAAGAAAACACATTTCTCTACCAAATTAATCTTACTATGCTTTGAAAGATTAAAAAATAGCATCCTCCTCTCTCCAGTGCCTCACATGAGAGTGTGTGGCCTTTGGGGGCAGTAAAGGATAATGATTTGAAAGCAGGGTCCTCTTGTCTGAAGCCACCTTCTGTGTCCACTTTGAAAGAGAGCAGAGTAGATTTAGTCCCAACAGAGTAGACACAGGCCACGGAACAGACAAGTGTCTCTTTGGTACATTATGGGGTCCCCTTGGAGTCACAGTACCCCCTCCAGCACTATTCTTCCTATCCTTGGCCATAAATGAAATGTCCCACCTAGGTAACAGGTAGGACATAGGCCAGTGGCAGAGTTGGTAAAAGCAGGCCCCAGCCCCAAAGCCCCACCCACTATGCACACATACATTTTCTTTGTGTGAAAGGGAGGTGGTTATGGCCATGCAGGAATACAATTGGGTCTCATTCTTCGTTGTTTGAAATTTTGGAATTACAGTAAATTAACCAAAGACCAGTTTTATAGGGTCTGAACAAAGCCTAAAGCCCTGCCTTCCCTGTAGTTCCTTCTCCTCTTAATCAGCTCCTCCAGAAAAAGTAATCCAGAGATAGTTCTCACCCTGAACCCTAAAGGGATCATATGGGCCCCTTATTACTCAAGGACCCCAAAACAGTGAGCTAACTCTATCACTTTATTCTTGCCACTCTGCTCCCCAAGTGTGGTGCAACATTAGCAGGCTCAGAATATTTAGTAATCATATCACTGAAATTGAATAAAATTAACCAAATAATTCAGAGCTGCTCAACTTTATTTCTGCTAGAATGTTATAAAATGGACATTATGAAGGCTGACTGATCAATTAAAATAGTAAAAGCAATCACTTATTGAGCACTTATAATGTTTAAGTCCCTCTACAAGGACTTTTATGTGCATTATTTTACTTAATCCTTAAAACAAAATGATCAGATAAGTAGTATTTTAGAGAAAACAAAATTGTGGGTCAAGAAATTTAATTTTTCCAGGCCATACACTAATAAATGGCCAGGAATCTAACTCCAAAGCCTAGAAGCCTCCTTATCATTTTCACTATGAAAATGATAAAGAGAATATAGAAAAAAATGATATGCCCAGGTACCCTTACTATTTATCAGTCACATCAATATAGAAGACTCCAAGCCTCAGCTTAACTTATTCCACACTATTCATACCACTGAGAAACTCACAGGTCTTCGCATGTATGTGAATTGCTTGTTTGGTGCCCCTTCCTAGATCTCCTCACCCCTACTCTGAGAACACATTGGTGCTCTGTGCCACAGCTGTACTACAGTCTTAGGGTCTCACCCTGACCAAAGATCTTTACATTTAAATCAGAAACGTCAGGCCAAGGATTTAGCTCACCCCGTTCCACCGCCTGCCTTGCAAGGCACAAGGTCCCCAAGTTTAAGCCCTGGTACCAAAAAGAAAAAAGTAAAATAAATCAGAAGAAAGAAAGTCTAATGGCTATTTTTCAGATATCCCAAAATAAGAAAAGATATTTCTGAATACAGCTTGATCCAAGGACCTGAGGGAGATGATACAAAACAACCCAGAATAAGCCACCCCTTGGGAGCAGAAAATTGAGATAGGAGAGTGACAGGAAGCAGGTCAAGGCTCTAGAAGGGATATTTTGCTGAGAAATCTGAAAAAACAAAACCTATTTCCAGGTCTTGTCCATTTGGAAGCATTGGGTATAAATAATGTTATTTTTGTTTTCTAAACCTGAGTGTCACCATGTTTCCAAGGCTGGATTTGAGTCCTGAGTTCAAGTGATACTCCTGCCTCACCGTGCTAAGTTCTTATAGCTACAAGCACACATTGCCACAGCTGATTAATGTTATTTTGATCTATTATGCTTACCAAGCCTCTAAGCAGGCAAAATGCGGTTGCCAGTAGGAGACATATGACTAGCATTAAATCAAATGGTCTTCTCAGCAGGTCTTTTGCTTGAGCTTCTTGGACAACCTAAAATAGAGTTTGTATCTAAAGAGCAAGCCCAAAATGACAGAGAATAATTTGAAAGCTACTGATACATTGAATGCTATGACGAATGAGAAAAGAATTTTGAAGATTCACAATTCATATACTAAACCACTGGACTTTCAAGACAGTCATTTGCCCCCTGAAGATCCAGTTTCCTCTTTTATGAAATGAGATTGGACTAGGCGATACTGAAGGGCTTCTATCTCTGGGTCCACATTTCTTTCTTAAAATAACACTTTCATTATTATAAAAGTAAGATAAACTCATTTGAAAAATAAGGACATTTTAAAAAGTAAACCGTGATCCTGCCATATCACTATTAATAGGTGATACACTTTTCCAGTCGTATATATTTTACATATATACATACACATATACTCATATATGTATAATGCTTTCTACAAAACTAGAAATAAACAATTTTGCATTCCTTAGTCACTCAGCAACTACCTATATGATAAGCACTGCAACATTATTAAAATTCTAAAACCCAATACTGTATGACAGCAGCACATTTTTGCTACTCTCCTACTGTGGGACATTTAGGCGTTTTTCACAGTTAATGTTCAGTGTAATGATAAACAACTTTATCCATAAATCTCTGACAATACCTCTCCAATGGTTTTCTTAGGATAGGGTCCTGGATGTGGAATCATTAGGCTGAAAGTTTAAATTTAGCAAGGTTGACAGCATTGTTAAATTGCTTTGTAGGGCAAATCTGAACTTGTGTTTGTATCATTTCTGTGTGACAGTGTTCACCGTCCTATCACTGTGTTTTACTGTTAAAATAAACACAGATGGTTTTATGTGTCACATGGCGTGAATGCTTTATTGACACATGGACACGGAGCTTTTGAAAACAGATCCAGGGCTAAGGCTAGCCCCACTGTTTGCTTTTTTATTTTTATTTTTTGAACAACTTCATTCTTCAAAGGAATGAAAAAGCATACCAGTCATCAGTGTGCCAGCCTGAGTTTACACAGTGAGTGTCTAAAGGTTTACAAATGAAGATTGTAGACATTAAATCCTATCTTAGGGCTGGAGGGCGGGGTGTGGCTCAGAGGTAGAGTGGGAACATCATGGAGGAGGCCTTAGGTTCAATCCCTAGTACCAGAAAAAAAAAAGGAATTTTGATGAATTCTGTTGTAAAATGAATAACTGTTCTAATTATTTAGGAGTTTATATTTTCATGTCAGTTTTGCTTAAAGCATTTGCCTAAGAATTTAATACCCACAAGTGGAAGAAAAACTTAGAAAGATGTCACCAGCCTAGGAATGAAGACTTTAACAAGAGTACCTGCCAGGCCAGTATTGTTTCACCTTGATCACCTTGATAGTAAATGGAGGGAGGTCACAGATGAGGTCCACAGCCAGTGTCCACATGTCTGGGTCTCTTGCGAGTCAGACCTTATGGTTATGTAGACTACACTGAACAGCAGTAGTTCTCCAACCTCCTCTTAGAGGAACAATAAATGCATAGGTACTACTTAAATAGGTGCTCAGATGCTCAAAATCCACGTCATTTGCAACCCCAGACAAACCATATAGTCCGGACTTCCTTTCCTGCACTAAGGCAAACACGATGCTAAGAATCAGTGTGACCACTAGTATAGGAGTTGCCAAAAATACGGCCTAGCCAATCAAATCAGACATATTTGGGTAGAAGCTGACCACCTTGGCCATATTAACTAAGATGTCAACAAACACCACTCAAGTAGTCAAAGCGCACAGAATGTCCTAGATATGCTCCAGTCCTCAGAGGCATAGGTAGTTCAATGGCCCATGCACGTATGTGAGCCCTGTGAACTTGAAAACAGGTTATGTTTAAACTTAGTAAAAATCAGCCGGGCGTGGTGTAGTATGCCTATAATCCCAGCACTCAGGAGGCTGAGGCAGGAGCACTGCTGTGAGTTTGAAACCAGCCCGGGCCACATAGTGAGTTCCAGGTCAGTCTCTACATAGTGAGACCCTGTCTCAAAAAAAACGAAAAACAAAAAAACAGTAAAAATCACCTTCGAGGGATAATTATAATTTTCTGATGGCTGATTATAGATTCTGAAACCTGCCCAGACAGGAAGACAAGTATATGGTATGCTTAAGAAAAAAGCAGGGCATAGTCGTGTTCCATACTTCCCTGTTTAAAAGAAAAAAGAAGAGAAAGTCAAAGGTTTACCTAAAGAATATCTAAACACAAATAATTAGGATCTCTCCCCATCTCAATCATGTAAAATTTTGCTAAAGACTAATATTTTAATGAGATGAAGAAAAACAAAGGTCATTTAAAACAACTAGATGTTTATTAACAGGCATGTCCTAGATACAATATTTTAAAATATCCCAATTTCTTGCATACCTAAATAACCTCACACTTTAGGCTTCAAGAGTCTTAATTTTCAAGTACATTTATCAGGTTCTCATAATGTTTTAGGAGTAATATATGATAAAATGTTGTGAGAAATATCTGCTCACTAATAATAGTCATAAATGCCATAGTCAAGCTCTAGATCGTTCCAAAAAGTTAGGAGTCACTGATACTTGACTAATTGTCCAGTCCACATTATTGACAACTGTTCAAAATTTTAAGGTTGAGATTATGAAGAATAGGAATTATTTGAAAAACAGCTTTTTATAAGCTTGGAATCTCTTGGCTATATTATAACTGAAATTAACTTCTTTATTTTACAAAATCCCCATTATTACAAAAAACAAAAGTGAATTTTAAGATAAAGTTTCTTACCTACAATGTTTCCAGGCACAAAAACAACAATGCTCATGATAATAGATCCAAGCCAATATAAGCCAATGGTTCTGTAACTTTCCCTATAACCAAAAAAATCTTGACTTAGTACATTTGTGTTAGAATACTATTAGCGAAAGATCCTCAATATTATTTTTCATTCCAATTAGTGTATTACATGAATTGAAACATTGAATAAAAAGCAATAAATCAAGAAACTCTGGTGATCAAGCCTCATTCCCTTATGCAATATTCCATAGAAACTTTCTTGTCCCTTTTTTAATAGGAATTCATGCCAGCTACACTGATCTGCAGCTGAATAGTAACATGGTCATCCTGTCCACAGACTCCTGCATTTCTCTACTATGTATGAAACTCAAAGCATAAAAGAGTAGAGAAGGTTGAAAGAAGAACACTGGGTCCATACTCTAATTTATCGTAATTATAAGTAATAGCGTATAAAATGGTCTCTGGCCATCAGCTTTGGCCAGAGCCCCAAAGATGGAAATAATAACCTGACACATTGTCCATGTTCTGGAGCAGCTGCTAGACATCTACCCTAATCTTCAATGCTGACAGAATGTTGCTGCAACCCAATAACTCAACTCCATGTTAAATAAGAGGTAATAAGAAATTCAAAAGGAGATAGGGCTGAGGATGTAGCTCAGTGGTTTCACTGCCTGTCGCAAATGCAAGGACCTGAGTTCCATCCCCGGTACCAAAAAAAAAAAAGGGGGGGGTTGCCTAAAAGATTCTGTGAGGGAAACAGAAGTGGAGACCTTTGTGCTTCCTGACTGATCCCAGCCCTAGTGAGTCTGACCCCAAGCAGATATCAAAATGACCTGGATTGCCGGCTGGAGAACAGACAAGGAATAGCTGGAGCTGTCCTTTAGAGTACATGGTGAACTGAAAGGAGGACGAACAGATGAAGCTGCGTGAAAGTCTTGTATGGGGTACAAAGGCTTGGCTCTAACCTGGAACCAAGCAGAGGCCTGGGAATGTAGCTGAACTTGAGCCATCCTGGAGAACCCTCCCCACAGAGCGCACCTTCTGGGATACAGAAAGATGCTGCAAGCAGACCACCAAGCATGGGAGAGTCACAAATCCAGCCAGAGAGCATTGCTCACTTAGGGACAGATGCTATGCAAAGGTTCCTGCAACAGGGGTCTCCAGAGTGCCCCATAAGGCCCAGCTAACATTTCATGACAGAGAGTCCTAGTGTCCAGAAAACAGCAGCTGTCAATGAGTTCCCCTCTTCCTTTTATCCTGTGGACACTCCCAGAGGAGCCAAACACAGAGGTAAGGAGTAGGGCAAGTGGGGTGTAAGCACCCAGGTGTAAGACTACATCTGAACTGAGAGATAAGCTTTGAACTGAAATTGAGGTGGCTGGAGTTTCAATTTAGAATGTGCAAGGCTTTATTTCCTACAAATGAGACTATCAGAAGAAGCCAGAAGACATAGGGGTCAGTCCATCTGACCTGTCACCATAGTTGGGAGGCAATATAGGGACATACTCAAAAAGGCAGTGATGCAAGGAAAGTAAAGCACACCTAACTTTTACCTTTGGCACTTACATTTCTGTCTGCCCTACCTGTTTGTGTACTGGCTTCTGTACACAGGTTTTCCTTACCCATTTATCGATGGCAAACACAAACCAGCTGAACTGACTTACTCCCATGCTATGGCTGCCACCATCACGAGGTACATCAGATAATGAGCAGAGCCATCCCAGTAGCAGATCATGTGCCCATAGGCAGTGTTCAGATAGGGTTCACCCTATGGAAAGCATTAATGAGAAGTCCACTTTAAATAAGATACAAACATTTAAATGCAAAACACCAGACCTCTACTGCAAATAGAATAAAACAGTAGAACCAACTGGTATTCATCTGCTAGGATGAAATTATTCCATCTTAACTGTTAGGCAAGTGAGAACAGAACTTTACCCAGAAACTGCCAAAACCAGGGTCTGCCATGGGGGTAAAAGCAGAGAATGCCTGTTCACTTGGCCTGTGATGAATCAACACATAGGACTGTACAGTGACACAAAGACAGCAGTATGTGTGATCCTAGCTGGATGGCCAACTCTGCGGCCAAGGCACACCTGTGACTGGAGGTGCTTGGCCATAGCCAGAGGAGTAGCCAGGGAAGACCCTGCTCATAGAGCTACTGGGTGGCCCTAGCTGTGCATGTTGACCTGACATAGAGGGCTGGCTAGGATGGACACAGGCTGGCACTCACACCACCTTACACAAACATACGGACTCAAAGATTATCACAGACCCTTCACCAACCTTCCCAACAACCCTATGGGGTGGATATGACTTTCAAATGAGGAGACAGAGGCCCCAAAAGTTTACAAGATTTGCTTAAGGTCACATAGCTTGTATGTGACAAAAATACCCCAAAAAGCTGTATTTCGCTTGAGAATTATTTTAGTTCATGAATTTTATGAACGCAGATTATATGATGAACTACATTTCCTTTTTCCAATTGGTTATGTTTCCAAGTGGCTGTTAGGAAATCACTGTCCAGGGTACACAAAGTTATTAGTGTTGTCCTGCCTGCACTTGGCCTTCCTCTCTTTCTCCTGTGTGTGCTCTCCTGGCTTGTCTTGCACATTCCCCTAGCCACACACCCCTTCTTCAACAAGGAAGAATGCAGATCAATCAGCCCATCAATCAGCCATCCAAGCAAGGCCTTTTTGGAAGCTTCCTGCTCCCTTCAGGCAAGCACTACTCTGTCATCTCTCCCCATGAGTCAAATCAAATTAAAATCAAAGCATGGGGAAACACTACCAAAACTGTATTTCTGTGCCCATGCAGGGCCCACATTGTTTCTTCTTGAGATGCTCTGCTTGGATGATGCCATCTGATTTCATGCTTCAGTCATCTGTGCCACACAGCTGGGCTCCCAGCTAGCACTGGGCTCTCCCAGTGGCAGATGGTATCCTTAACTGGAGGTCCTTGCACCCTTCAAACTCACCTGAGCTTCTCATCAGCTCATCAGCTTCTCCCTCAATCACCCTGTCACCCAGCCCCTCTATTTGGATGGCAATGCCACCAGCTTACCCAGAGGAAGCCACAGAATGGTCATTTTATTCCTCATTTTCCTGTACAGTCTTTTGGCAAATCTTGTCAGTTTTACCTCTGTGATGTTACCCCAAGGAACTCCCTCTTTAGTATGGCTTAGGTTAAACCTCAGTGTCCCCCAGTGGATCACTGTTACGTTCCCAGTGGTCTCCCTACCTTTCTCCTCCTTCCCATCCACAACACTCTTGCTGCCAGATGAATATTCATATGACTGGGCATGTCGCTCTGCTCTAAAACCTCCCAAGGCTTGTCACTGCCTAAAGGGCCAAGTTCCATCCCCTCCAGATAGTTTGGGTCCCCGGCCTGAGCTTGCAGAGCTTGCTACTATTATACCCCAGTTCCTCTTCCTATTCCCCATCTGCCTTAGTGCCTGCTACCATCCTCCCTAAAGCCTTCCCCCTCTAGCACAGTGCCTCATTCTCCCCTTTGCCTCCTTGCCTGCCCATCTTTCCACTTCAGACTCCTGGGTACCCACTTCTGGTCCTGGTCTCCAGAATTCCAGCCTCAGCCTCTTCACTCTCCATCTTCTCCGGCATCTCAGAATGCCAATACCAACTGTGGTCATGTGGCCCCCAAACCTCCCTACCGGAACAATTCCTCAGATCTCAAGACCTCCAAAGCCCTGCCAGCCAGGACATGTGCCAGGATGTCCCTCAAGCACCTGAAACTCCATATGTGCCCAAATGAACTAAGTGTCATCTCTGCAAGCCTACACCCAGGCAGACAGCACACACCAATCTCCCCAAGCTACTTCTCAAGCTGTCCCTTCTGCTCAGAATGCCTTCCACCTCCCTTGCCCAGCCAGAAACAGCTGCCATCCTCTCCCATGGCCACTTTTTAAAGTGCTACATCAGTATCTCCAAGTCTACAAGGCTTTCCCCACCCACTGCCAGAGTTCACTGTGCTGGGCCTGGAGGGAGCTTCTGTCACTGTACCTAGGACAGTGCTGTGGCCCCACATGGAGGGTAGGAAGCAGGTCTCATGACTCCACAGTCTCCTTGAACAAAAGTCTGCAGAACTAAAGCCTCTCTAATGGAGTAACACCAGCTTCCTTCCAAATTCCAAAGCAAGAATCAGGAAGTCATCCTGGGCCTGACCCTTTCACTTGTCCCCAACGTGTCCCCAAGTCCTACAACCACTTGACTTCTCTGAAGTTCACCCTTGTATTTTTAAGTGCTGCCTCTGTCCAACCACTGTCACACCCAGCTGGCACTGCAGAAGCCTCTTCTTGTGCCCTCGCTCATGACATTGACCCTTCCCAAAAGCCCATCCTCCCAGAGCTGTCTCCTCTGGTTTACAATTTCCCCTTACATACAGAATGACATCCAAACTCCCCATTATCTAAAATGCAGATGAAGACTACATTTTCAGCTCTGTGTGACCATGAGTAGGTCACTTAACTTTCGGTGGCTGGTAGCCCATCATAAAATTAAAAAACGACTAGTTCCCTCCAGTACCATGATTTGGTTGGGAGTTAGTCATCATAATCAAATAGTTTCATTACCTTGATGTCTGATATCTCACAGATTTAAGACTAAGTTGGGCCTTTTGCGATTATAATATATTAGATACACAAACACTAAATTCACTGAAAGTTCCTCATTTAAAGGAAAAGGGTCACAAGGTAGGACAGGAGTGCAGGGACAGTTATGAGAGCAGATTTACTTCTCACCATCTCAACTCACCTTTAGGCTTCACCTACCACGTGAGTAACCAGCCTAAGCCTATACTAGGAAACAAACCTGCTCTCATAGCAGAAGACTAAAGGCCAGGCCAGGCTGCACTACTAGTATGCACCTTGCCACCCCCAGGCAGTGCTGTACCTCTCTCAAGTAGTGGGTCATGAAGCCATCAATGACACCATCTTGCTCCAGTCCTATGATGAGGTTCACCACGCTGGTAAATCCGAAGACAGCATACACTATAGCAGAGAAGGCCACAGTTTAGAATACAGCCCACACGAGGCAGTTACTGATAGCTGACAAGGATAAATAAATGCTTCTGATGCTGTGGTCACACAGGCTAGCAGTCCACACCTCCTGCACTTTCAGCCATTTCTATGCCCATCCTCTTGGGTCTCCCCATCCATGCACAACAGCTCTCACTGAGAGAACATGAGTCACGGAAATAGAGGATGACATTCACCACTCACTGTCCCAGAAGGTTCTCCAGGACACCCCCTCTAGCCTCCACTCCACTCCTCAAGTGTCCGCCCAGAGCCGAAACCACATCCCACCAGGGCAGGAGAAATAAAGCCAGTCACCAAGTGGCTAAAGAAGCACACAGTGACCACCAGCTTTAAAAGGAAGATGACATAAATACAAGTGTGTTGGTGCACAACTGTAATCCTAGCACTCTGGGAGGCTGAGGCAGAAGGATCACCAAGTATGAACCTAGCCTAGGTAACTGAGTCACTGTCTCCAAAAAATAAAAATAAAAAAGGTTGGGGATATAGCTCAGTGGTAGAATGCACCTGAGTTCCATCCCCAGTACTGCAAAAAAGTAATAAGGATGTGAATGATTCATCTTAGTGATGAGCACACAGGCCAACTCACAGTGTGTCCATCATATCTGCCTGTTCCACACAGAGTGGTGCCTTGGTTCACAAATGCTTTTGGTTGCAGACAATTTGGTTTGCAAACAAAAGCATTTATCCAAATTTTGTTTTTGTTTGCAAACTCTTCATCGGATAATAAACACAACCGTGGCCACCTTTCCCACAAATGTGGTCATCTTTTCTGAAGTCACAGTACAAATTAAGTATGTAGACCGAAGTACCACTGTAATTGGTGTGCAAATGACAGGATTTAAAAAAAAAAAACACCAGTGATTTCAAGAACTGAATACATGTAAGATGGTACAATCTACTTTGAGAGAAGGAACACTGGCACATCTTAGAGAATCGCACCAAGATGAGACTCTTCTAAACAGGCTTACAATTACTTAAAACAACTATCTAAGGAATAGCACCCTTTAAACAGCGGGAGAACAAACTTAACCCATGGGATTTGTCAAGAAAGTTGTGTTTTCAAGTGCAACAAACTAGTGTCTTAGACCAGGGGATTAGTGTAGACAGGAGAAAGGTCTGCTGGTGGATACAGGAAACGCTGTGCACAAAGGAGAGCAGGGGAGAATGATTCACAGAGAAAGGAAGCTGGCCTTGCACAGAGTGTGTGGCCAGAGTTCAGTGTCCCCATGTCTGCCTGAAGGATGAAAGGCCACATATGCCCTGCCCTGCAGCCTGAACCCTCCCAGTGTCTTCACGAAAACCCAGTCTGTTCTCACCAATGTCATTGTTGGACACTGATTTCTCTGAGGCTTGCCAGGAGGCCAGCCCTGTGCATCTCCTGGATAGGGGGGCATTTAGCACATCTCCCAGCTACTGTGATAGCAACTGTGGTGCCAGACACTGGCTCTGCTTCCTAGTGGGCAAGGAACTGGCTGGAGTCTGACATGAGGCTGCAGTGTGTTCAAAGATAGAACAGAGCCATGACAGAAGATTCAGGGTGCAAGACTGGGGCTGCCTTGAAGACCAGAAGAGACCTCAGTGAGTCAAGTGAGGTCTGCATGGGGCAAGCCTGGAGAGGTAGGACAGACAGCAGCAGGAGGCCCATCTGGGAAAGTAGACTGGAGCCAGCTGAGCAAGGAGAATGGAGCAAGAAAAATGACAAGGGCTCTGAGGTCAGATAGTCCAAGCTCTTCTACCAGCCAGCCATGAAAGCCAGAGCAAGTTACAGAAATTCTCTCAAGTTGCAGTTTTTTATGGGTGAACTGGAAGGAACTAAACTCACAATCCTTCTTTGTCACCCCACCTTTGCCAAAGCCTGCTATGGCACAGAAGGTTCCCTCCACTTCTAACAAGGGGATGGGCCTGTGGTTCACTCTGGCCAGCAGAATGTGGGTAGAGATCTGTAACTCCAGCATGCTAGAAGGCTTTTAGCCCAGTATGGGCACTTAATGACTTAGCGAGACGCTGTCTCAAAATAAAAATAGAAAAGGGTTGGGAATGTAGTTCAGTGCAAAGGCCCTGAGTTTCATCCCCAGTACTTGGGGGAAAAAATGCAGGCAGAAGTGACAATAGCCAGCTACAAGCCAAAGCCACCAGAGGCACTGCTTTCTTCCCACTGACCCTTTTGTGCTCTGTATCCCCATGAGGCAGGCAGAGTCCAACAGCAAGGAGATGTGAGGACAGTCCTGCCCGCAGCCACCCACAGCCTGCAGCAGAATGACCCAGGCCACCCACAATTCTGTGGGCAAGAAAAATAAACTTCTGTGGCTGCACAGGCTTGGGGCATGTTTGACATCAGCATTACTGAATCAGAAACTAAATAAATAAAACTCCCAGCAGACTGCTAGACTTAGAAAGTGCTCAGAGCCCAGTAACTCCTTTGCCCATGGCACAGACTGACAAAGGGCCTGGGCTCTGGATCAATGCCATTCTCGCTAGCTACATGACCTGAACATGTCTCCGAGCATCAATAAGCCAGCGTCTCCATTTGTTGTGACAATTAAATAAAATAAAATTGCTGAAGTGCTCAGTGCCTTACCAGAAACACTGTAGGTGTGCAATTGTGGTATTTTTATTTATTTAACACGTGTATTTACCAGGACCTGACCTAAGTACTTTACAAATACCATTTTATTTAATGTTTGTGCCAATCCCTCACAATAGGTGTAATTATTTCCTTCTTTGTACAGATGCGCAGACTGCCACACTGCCCCAAGTAGAGAGGACTGAACGTGCCAGGCTAAGGGAGCTAAGAAGCCCAGCAGGAGACGGAGGTAAGGACAGCTGGGGATCAGGGGATGAAGGTGATCCCCCACCCCCACCCTGCAAGTGCCCTTCCACCAGGATCCCCTGGAAGTGGGGTCCATGACCTGGGAGAGGCCACAGTGATGGCAAACCTTCTAGAGCTTTCAGGGATACAAACAGCCCACTGTGGCACATGTATCATAGGTTCACCACCGCTGGCTTCAAGGAAAGGGCCACAATGTCCTCAAAATCCCTTCCCATTCCAGCCACCAAGGGAAAAGTTCCATGTTACCAAGTGGACATAAATGGTTTCCCTGGAGGAGACATACCGTAGAACAGCGGGTCCCGAGGTGGCTTTCTTTTGACGAGAACTCGAGCCAGTAGGGCTACCAGGAACAGGATGAGGGCAGCAACTCCTACAATTGTCCAGGAACTGCAAGGATCAGAATAGGGAGGTGGTCACTTAGCAAAACAAACACAGTGGTGCCTGGAATTTCCTGACGTTCAATGCCTTTGTTCCCAGCACTGCACAATTCAGGCATAATCCTGCCTCTGCCATAGCTCAGGCACTGAGAATCAATGAAATTTATCTGCAGCTCTCTGGCCTCTCTGGACCACAGCCCTGTGACTCTCAGAGACCAGACCCCCAGCTCTTCATTCTTCCCTTCTGTCCACCTGTCTCCTGTGCACAGATGAAATCCCTACCCTACTCCTAAGATGCCCTACCTACCTATCTGATTTGTTCCCCCTGGCAGCTGACAGGCCTAACCAATGAACCTGCCACTTCCCTACTCAGACCAAGCTCCAGGGCACAAGCAGGAATTACATGTCTTCCCAGGAGACAAGGTGTGTTCTGCATCTGTGGCAGGCAGTACTGCAGGTCCTGGGAATACAGAATGCACAAGGAGGCCTCTATGTACATGGAGGGAATTATCTCTACCAGCTGACTTCTACCACCTACAAGGTCCCCTCAAATCATGCAGAGGTATTCTCCCTCTCATATTCCCAGCACCCATAGGGCTCCCAGTTCTAGACAGAGAAGCCCTGCCCCGCTGCAGTGGCCTGCTACACCAGAACCTCCTCCCAACCCCTTAAAGCTGCTGAAGACACCATTGAGATCCCTTCACACCACCATCCCCAACCTCTGTCTTGACTCTGTTCTAGCTTTGAACACATCGCAGCCTCGAAGTTAGGTCCCCAGTCAGCTCCCTGCCCAGTAGGAAGCCTGTTCCTGGGACTTCGGAGTGTCCTTCACATATGCCCTGGGAAAGAGGACAAGGATGATGAAAGGGAATGGATGGATGGGTGAAAGATCATAGGCAAATGAATGGATGGGTAATGGGTAAATAGGTGGCTAGATAGATGATGCATGGATGGGCTGACAGATTGATGGATGCTGGATAGATGGATGATGGGTAAATGGATGGATGGATGGGCTGACCAACTGATAGATGATGGGTGTATTCTATGATAGGAGAGGATGGATGGCTGTGTCAGTGTGCAGGTGACAAATGAAACTAGGAGGTTTCTGGTAGTGCTGATGAAGGAAGAAGCTGATGTGAGCCAAGGCCATGACACTGGGCTGTGACTGTCAATGTGATGGGCTTGACAGCCACCAGGGGATTAATAAAGCACACTTCTGGATGTGTCTGGGTGGGTCATGAAGTGTGATCTGGGAGTCTATATCTGCTCCCTTGCCCTGTCCTCTCTGGTGCTCTTCCCCAGTCTGTTTTCCAGCCTTCAGGAAGTGAGTATTGTCCCACCATGCCCTTCTTCCATGATGTCCCTGCCTTGGGACCAGCTGACCATCCACTGAACCCTCTGAAACATTGAGCCAAAATAAACCTCTCCTCCTTTATACAACAGATGTCAGATATTTTGTCCCAACATCTGCCCGTCGCATGTGCTGAAGCACCAAGTAGTGAGGACGGAAGACATCAGTATGCAATTAGACTATGGGCATAGTGATAACGGGCAGCTGAGGCAGGAGGCAGTGGGCAGACAGCCCCCCTCCCTGCCCAGACCAGGGCCTGAGGTCATAGACAACACAACCACAGGGCTGGTGTGCTTCTGGGATCTTCAGGAGCCCTGTGAGCTGATTCACGGCTTCCTCTCATGGTTCCCACCTGGAGGGAAGGAGGAAAGAATGATAGGAAACTGAGGCAAAAATCCTCTCTGCCTCCCAGCACTGTGCCCAAAGACCTTCCTATGACTGCCAAGTGCAGCTCCTGCTCAAAACAGGCAGGGGGCTAGGGGCTCTAGAGATGGGTAAGGGCTGCACCTAACCCAAGGGGAAAAGGTTGTTAATCTAGGGCAGTGATGGCAAATCTTTTAGAGCCCTCAATGACAACAGCCCGCTGTGGCTCATGTGCCATATCCTCACCACCAATGATCTAGGAGGTGGATGGCTTTCTGTGAACAGATGCCGGACAGGGAGCATATATGGGTGTGAGCAACCAAAGTGTGGGTGGGGGGAGATCCCCCAACCTTTTTCTACCCACTCTACCTGTTTGCTTTGTCTGTTGCTCAGCTCAACATCACCATCGAACATCGAACATCACCAAAAGCCTCCTTTGAGCAGGGTGCTGGGCTGGGCTGACAGTGCTAAAGTGAGCTGTCACCTGCAAGGTGATGTGAGGAAGTAAGTCTGTGGGAAAGGTGCAGCCGGGCGCCCAGGACTCTTGAAACAGATAGACATCTCTCCTTTAGAGCAGGGTCCACAGAAGGACTAACTGACCTCCACTCTGGGCCACAAAACCTGGTGTGGCTTCAACAGTCAGCAATAGGGAGGAAGGTGGAAGGGACCAAGCAGGCAACACAGCATCCAGGGGATTCGGGGCAGAGGCAGCCTGGTATGGCTGACGCAGTAGCCAGGGGGCTGGGCTAGGGTCTCATGGACAGAGATCCTGGGCCTCCATCCAGCTCAGAGAGGAGAACTGGAGGTAGTGAACAGACACCAGACACCTGGGGCCTATGGGGAAGGGGACACCAGGAGGAAGGAGTGGAAAAAGAAGACCAAGGCACCTTAGGCTTCTCGGAGTTTTGTTTTGTTTTATTTTGGGGGAATGAGGTCTTGCTATGTTGCCCAGGTTGGTCTCCTCCCACCTCAGGCTCCCCAAGAGCTGGAACTACAGGTGTGCACCACTCTATCTGGCTAGGCCACTGAGGCTTTACCTGCCAGGAGGAAGGGAAGGACAGTAGCACACAAAGACACATCATTCTGTCTATTCAGTGAGCGCTATCACCATGTCCCCAGTACCCTCAAATTCTCTTTGTTGCCTTACAGCCCTCCCCTCCTGCAGATTATGCTTCCTCCAAACACCTGCCCCACCCACCGGCTTCCTACCCTTCTTGCTCACTGTCCTCAGATCTTGCCATAGTTTAAGTTGTCACCTCCTCTAAGAAGCCAAGAAGCCTTTCCTGACAACCAGCTCCCTTCCTAACCAACCTTTTACTTTTTTTTTTTTTTTTTACCAGGGATGGAACTGGGGACCTTGTGCTTGCGAGGCAGAGGTAGGCAGTTGAACCACTGAGCTAAATCCCCTCCCCGGCATGTCGCTGTTTATGTCCTCTCTGTTTCAACACACTTTCCTGGCCTGTTCACAGGTCTGATACTCAGACCTTCACTGAGCTGCTCAGACATCTCTGGTAGAAACACGGGGCCCCTGCACAGTACTGACAGCCACCTCACTTTCGGCTGCCAGAGCTGCAGCTTCCAGATGCGCCCAGGGCCCGGGTCAGACCAAGGGCAGACGCTGCCAGTGCCCAGAGCGCGCCGGGTCTGGGAGCAGCCACTGCCTCGGAATAGACACTGCAGCCCCTGTCCGGAGGGGTTTACAGCGGGCGAACTGATGCAATTTCCTCAGCACCAATGCTGCAAGAAACGACCGGTCACTTCCTCCTCTCCGCAGATGGCAGCCACCATCAAGGGTACGGGACTGCCACCTGCCCCAACTTCCCCTGCTCCCAGGGCTCCCTCCGTCAGAATTCCTCCAGGGGACCAAGGCAGGGCGCACCGGTTCCCGGGGCACGGAACTCCCCGCACCCACAGCGCCCTTCAGAGGGTTCTCCCCGGCCCTCACGTCACGGTGCAAGTCCAGACCATTGCACCGACCGGAAAGCGGGCTCGACACCCGTTAAGAGCGAAGCCAGGCCCGCAGCCGGACCCCTCCTGCCCGTCACCCGGGCCGCGTGCGCCAAAGTCCGAACAGGGGACGCTGCCCGATGCTCACACTGGGGGCGCGGCCCTCTGTCCCCGGCCTGAGCGCCCCGGGGGCCCCCACCGCTCCCGCAAAGTTGCGGCGCTCAGTCCTCCAAGCGCGCTACCCCGCACCTCCTACTCACTCTCGCTGAGCCGCCAGGTGGTCGAAGATGTAGGTGACCGGGATGGCCG